CATATGCTGCTGAAATAGTTCACAACTCATGGGGGAGCACTTTGGCTTTTCACCTTGGGTGTGTGCTGAAGGACCTTGTTACAGTACTGCAGTGCCTCGGCCCCCCCATTACATGTTGTGGTTCCTTACTTGGACCCCTACATAACTGTTGTGGTTCCATCCGTAGGTCATTACAGGACTCACGGGAAGTAACCACACCCCATGGGGAGGGACCCAGGCATCCAACACTCCACAGAAGTGTGGAATGCAAACAACTTTGCCAAAAGCTGCAGCTCTGGAAGAAAGGGAGGTTGGAAACATTCTTATTTTGAGAGTAGCACCTCATCTATTGCAGGGGACTACCATTTCGATTTTCTTAGGTGACTGACAGGGTCCCTTTAAAATACACCTGACACTGGAGAAATAAGGGAGAATCACCTCCTTCTAAAACTGCTTATTGGCTGGCTGTAAAAGTCTTTGTTAAGGGGGCTTGGGAGGAAGGAAGGAGGGTATTAACATAGTGAACCTGTCTTTTAAATTGTACCTCAACAAAAAAAAAACCTCTGGGTGATCAATGTACATTGCAAGAATGATAACAAAGTTTGTTGTCAATTCCATTTATGTTTCTGAAGAAATGGCAGTTTGTTTCCACACTGATTCCTAAATTGAAGAGTCACCCTTCATTGTAACCCCTGAGCAAATCTTAGAGTTCTAATAGGGAAAGGAGCAGTGGATGCATCCCTTTAGTAGTATGACATTTCTATTGCAGAAGACGCTTAAAATTCATCTTGTATCTTAATGCAGACTTCTGAGACAATCAGTGAGAGACTTCTGAGACATATACACATACATCCATATATTAGCAAAATGAATAGATCATGTGTCTAGGAGCAAATATGTAACTTCATCATTATAAACTAAAATCCAGGATTCTTTGAAGTTTACATATTTGCTCTTAGATGGATGATATATTTATTCTTTGTCATGTGCCTATTAATGTGTGTGTGTGTGTGTGTGTATATACTGTATATATATATATATATACACTATATTGCCAAAAGTATTGGGATGCCGGCCTTTACACGCACATGAACTTTAATAGCATCCCAGTCTTATTCCATAGGGTTACAATATTGAGTTGACTCCGCCCTTTGCAGCTACAACAGCTTCATCTCTTCTGGGAAGGCGTCCACAAGGTTTAGGGGTGTGTCTATGGGAATGTTGGACCATTTGTGAGGTCAGGTACTGATGTTGGAGGAGAAGGCCAGGCTCGCAGTCTCCCCTCTAATTCATCCCAAAGGTGTTCTATGAGGTTGAGGTCAGGACTCTGTGCAGGCCAGTCCAGTTCCTCCCCCCAAACTCCCCCATCCATGTCTTTATGGACCGTGCTTTGTGCACTGGTGCGCAGTTATGTTGGAACAGGAAGCGGCCATCCCCAAACTGTCCCCACAAAGTTGGGAGCATGAAATTGTCCAAAATGTCTTGGTATGCTGATGCCTTAAGAGTTCCCTTCACCGAAACAAAGGGGCCAAGCTTAACCCCTGAAAAACAACCCCCCCCCCATAATCCCCCCTCCACACAATGATTTTGTGGGGTGCCCCAATATTTTTGGCAATATAGTGTATATTTACGCACACACACAAAGAGAGTCTGTATTCTGGGCCCTTATAAAGGAGTACTTAACAGCTCATGGGATGTGTTGCCCTGAAATGTCGACACTTTATAATAAAATAAATACGAATGATTTTCTAACACTTATTTACAACATGGACATTCTGGGTCAGTATTTCAAAAGTATTTGAACTAAACACAGCCAGGCAACTAGCATTATCCATCTGGGCCAGCAATGGCAGCCCCTACACTTTATTGATGACAGAGTCACTTTCTCATGAACACACATTTCTGATGCTAGGTGCATTTGAATAAATATTTTTCACAGAGACTTTGCCTGTTTGGCATCTTCGCTGCAGTTCATTAGAAATAGGAATTTCTCACCCGAGCCAAAGCCAAGTGCATCTCCAGCTCTGCGATACGTCTCCCCACGCAGGCCCGAATGCCGTACCCAAAAGGAATGGAGCTGAATGGGTGGTGATTCATCCCGCCATTGCGCAGCCACCTCTGAGGCAGGAACTTGTCCGCGTTCTGAAAGTAGTCCTCGTCTCTGGAGATGCCATAATGATTCAGAACAAACAGAGTCTGTAGGAAGAGATACATATATGACAGATGGTCAGCACTTCTGCCGTGCAGTACTGGGGGTCCCCGGTTCAAATCCCAGCTAGGACACTATCTGCATGAAGTTTGCAGATTCTCCCTGTGCTTGTGTGGGTGTCCCCTGGGTACTCCAATTTCCTCCTACACTCCAAAGACAATGCTGGTAGAATAACTGGCTCCTGTCTAAATCTGCCCCAGTATATTTGTGAGATGGGGACCTTCGATTGTAAGCTTTTTGAGGACAGGAACTGATGTAAATGTGCAATATACAAAGTGCTGCTTAAAATGTCGGCATTTTATAAATACCAGGGATGCACCGATATATCAGCCAGCAAAACATATCGGCTGAAAATGGCACTTTTGGCATAATGCGAAAGTGCCATTTTCCTGCCGATACATCTGCGCATCCCAGATTTCTTTGCTCCCCGCTGGGCGCTGCTCTGTGTCCCAGCGGGGAGAAGAGAAATTGACAGCGCTGCGGTGGAGAGCGCTGTGAGTGTCTCCTCCCACACACCGCTCTGCCGCCTATCACAGTCCGGCAGAGCGGTGTGTGGGAGGAGACAGCGCTGTCACAGGAGGCTGAGCTTTCCTCTCTATAACGCTCGATCAGCCTCCTGTGACAGCGAGTCAGGAAGGAGAGCGGGTACAAGCCGTCAGTGATCAGTGATCGTTGAGTGTGTGACTGTGTACATAATTGAGAATGTGGTATGTTAACTATATCCTCAATTATGAATAAATAAATAAAAATAAATATAAACATTTTTAAAAGTTTATAAAAAATAAATAAAAATAAAATATTTAGAAAATATTTGAAAAAGTTACAATAAAAAAATTGTCTGTTTCGGCCTGACTTTTTTTTTTCTTTTCGGTTTCGTTTGCATTTCGGTGCACCTCTTGTTTTCTTAATGAACTCCATTCATAAACCTGGTGCAGGAAACTTACTTTTTTTGGAAACAAATAGTCACCAATCACGACCTCCCTTTCGCAGATCATTCTGCCATTGGAAGACACGACAGGGTACAGCCTGCATGGGAGAAAAGCCAAAAGGCAGTGTGGGTGAGCTGCTGGATTGTTAATGGATCTGTACGGGTTTCCATGGATAGCATTAAGAGATCTTCTTCTGTGTGTTCACACAAACCTTTTAGATTTTCTTTTAAATGTACCCGGGACTTTTGTATTACATTAAGTTTACTTAAAGCCCAACTCCAACACTTAGGGCCCAGAGCTGAGCTTTAACCATATAAAGTTCGCCCTAAAAACTTCACGTAAGGTGGAACTTTAAAGGAGAACTATGGGGTAAGTGTTTTTCCCCATAGCTCTCCTAAGGGTAACGGGAGGACATAAACTAGCGTCCTCCCGTCAGCCTAAGCTCAGTATACCGCGAGCTACAGCTTGCGATATACTGAGACCACCGCAGCCGGGACGGATCACGACATTACTGTTGAGATCCACCAAGCTGCGTGAGTGACAGCTGGCTCTGCCTATCTAGAGGCAGAGCCAGCTGTACCCGCCCCCCCCCCGGTCCATTCCGCCAGTCAGCGCTGGAGGATCAGAGAGGGGAGGGGGGAATCCCTGCAGGGAGCCGTGAGTGACAGTCACGGCTCTCTGCAGGAAGATGATCGAGAAGTGATCGAGCGACGGTATGTGTTCGCTCACTTCCCGATCTATAGAGCCGACGTGTGACAGTTTAATTGCCACACGTCGGCTCGAGCTATGAGGATGTGTGAAAATCACTCACCTCATAGTTCTCCTTTAAGTAAAGATTAAAAAAGGGCAACCAGGCACACTTTTCATATGTCTCTTCTGCAATAAAGACCGCTTACCTGTCTGTTCGCAATCCGCTTGACTATGTACAATTTTGGCATCTGCTAAGAAGAATGAACTTTCGTGCATGTGTGGAAGTTACATCATCCTGACACGGCCGATGAAGATGGCTGAAGATAACAAAACCTTTAGGAAGACCGTGCACAAATGTCGGTACCAGAAAAGGAGTTTGTGGATGTGCTGCTGAAGGGGAGGTGACTACAGTTCTGTTTGAATTCTTAGGGCGTACCTTGTATGCTCTGGTACTCCTCCTCTGCTGTGTCTGTTTTGCCACCAGACCAATGGGCATCGTCCTTTGTGTCTCTGGTGCCACTACAGTGGACTACTCTAAAGTAGTATTAAACTCTAAAACAGTCATCCTGTTTCCAAACAGCTCCAGCTCTCTCAGCAGTCTCCAGCAGCTGTCCATCTACTAGCTGGGAGAAAGGGAGGAGGGAGGAGATGGGAACGGGGGGTGTTTTGCCTTGTTGTGCCTGTGTATTTGAGGAAGAATTAGTATGTAACCAGCACGCCGAGGTCAAATGTCCAAATGCGTCTTTAGTGACGTGTGTACATCTTGTCAGGAGCAGGCAACGTTTCCCGGGGGCCACTTAGGGTCCCTTCATACTGAGCCTGATGAAGGGACCCTAAGTGGCCCCCAAAACATTGCCTGTTCCTGACAAGATGTACACACGTCAATAAAGACGGATTTGGACATATGACCTTGTTGTGCTGGTTACATACTAATTCTTGCTTGGACACAGCGGCCCCATCCGCCGTCACTACAGCACCCATCCTCAAGGGGAATACCAGTAAGGAGTGCGGTGGAAATTCTGCAGAATTTGTGTGTTTGTGGAGACACACATAGGTTTTTTTAAAGGGCCCCATAAAGCCATAATGTTCTGGTATGCACAGCATATTAGCACAATATGTCTGACTTACCTGCCAAAATGATACCCTCCAGCGATGAGCTCCTCCCTCTCTGGTGCTTCCATCTTCTCCTTAGTCTTCTTCTGGGTTTCTAGTGTTTGACCGGGCCCCAATGACACAACTCCTGCGCATGTACACAGGTGTTGCTTCATCTCGGCATGCTGGGCCCGTGAGCTGAGCGCATGCAGAAAACAAAATTGCCAACAGATAGAAAAAATGTTTTTAGGGCAGAAGACACCTACAAAGTCTCTTCCGCCATAAAAAGCCTGCCAATCAGCAGTTCCTTTTTTTTTTTTTTAAAAGCGTTACTTCCACTTTAAATGCATTTTATACGTTGATAATTAAGGTCAACTTGATTACAATAGTCATACCGGAGGGTCTCTTTGATGGTGGCTTTTAGTAGTGGCATTCGAGAGATATCATCTGCTGTGGGTATACGTTCTAATGGAGCAATGCTGACCACCTCTTCATGTAGGGTTTGCTGGAGCTCCGGATCATGAGCCAGGTGATACAAACACCAGGTCAAAGTGTTTGAGGTCTGGAGGAAGACAACAACAAGGGGAGCTATTTATGCAAATGATCAAATGTTTGTGGACACCTGACCATCACACCTACCTATATAGCTAAACGTAGGCGGAACCGCTCCAAATGACTGAATTCAGGTTCTTCCGTAAGGGTAATGTTAATACTAGAGCATACAGACAATTGTGCACTTCTAACCTTATGGTAACAGTCTGGTGAAGCGTGAAGGCCCTTTTCTGTTCCAGCATGACTGTCTCCTATGTACAAAGTCAGCTTCATAAAGACACGGTTTGAAGAGTCTGGTGTGGAGGAACTAGTGTGGCCTGCACAGAGCCCTGACCTCAACCCTACCGGACATCTTTGGGATGAATTGGAATGCCAATTGCAAGCTATGTCTTCTCCTCCAACATCAGTACCTGACCTCACAAATGGTCTTTTGGCTGGAGGAGGAGGGAGGAGGAGGATGAGGAAGAGGGAGGTGGAAGAGGAAGAGGAGGAGGGAGGAGGGAGGAGGAAGAGGGAGGAGGAAGAGGAGGAGGGAGGAGGAAGAGGAAGAGAGAGGAGGAAGAGGGAGGAGGAAGAGGGAGCAAGAGGGAGGAGGAGGAGAGGGAGGAGGGGGAGGAGGGCGAGGAAGAGGAGGAGGAGGAAGGGAGGAAGGGAGGGAGGGAGGAGGAGAAGGGAGCTGTATCTATGTGTCTGTGAAGGTTCTCATTCATCCAGGTCATGGTATACCTGTAAAAAACTGGACTGGACTTGCTGTATTTTTCATGAAGATGTTTCACTGGTCATCCAACCAGCTTTCTCAATTCAGAAATGACTTGTACAAAAATTATCCGGGAATAAATATGGTGACTGTTGTTCCAATCCACATAATCTGTTAGTCACAACCATATGTTGATTGCATTTGCATAATTTGAGCTAGGAGGTGTTAATTACCTGCCCAGAGAGAGGTGTTAAAAAACAGCATTGTATGTGTCTATGTATTTGTGGAGACCCTGCAAGGGAAAGGAGCCACCATAAAAAGGATGTCAGGGCCAGTGTTCAAGGACCAGCTGATTCTGCAGGAAACTAAAGGTGCCCATACACTGCACGATTCTCGTACGAGTGTATGGAAGGTGTGCGACCGTTTCTACTGTACGGTCGCACGTCTTCCGTCGAACCAGCAGGCTAGAAAACCCGCCGGGAATCGTACGATTCTCGGCGAGTTAGTGGCCTGCTGGTTCGACCACTGCCGAACGGGCCGGTGTGCGCACGCGCACACAGCCCATTTGCAGTCATCTTAAGCCCGCCCCTCATTGCAGTCATCGTAAGCCCGCCCCTCAGGGGGGCGGGCTTGCGATGATCGCAAGTACAATCTGCCTGTCCAAGATGGGCAGATCGTACATTTTTTTAAGTACTTTGCAAAGTGTATGGCCACCTTTAAACTTTAAAAAATCAAGGATCTGCATCCACTGTAAGTGAATTCATCAGCATTTGAAATAACTTTAACTTTAAAGCTCAGCTTAAACCTAAACATTTTTTTCTTTTTTGATAGATCAAGGAGTGGTCTTTCATTGGCTTTTGCATGAACATAAAACTAATTACAATGTGCTTAATCAGCATGAAAAAAGTTTTAAATAAAAATATCTGTTGGTTACCCACAGTGTCCACGCCGGCCATCAGCAGCTCGCCCACACTGCCGTACACCTCGTCCATGGTCAGTTTTCCGCTGGACAGCAGGTAGGTCAGGTACTCCCCCTGCACCTCCTCTCCCCTCTCCAGTCTTTCCTGGATCTCATTCATCTTCTTATCAATCAGCTTTTGCGCTGCAGGAGAATCAGACAGAAGCTTGAGATCATATTGTGCAATTCCTCCTAAATCTATGTCAGCACAGCAACTGGCACTGGTAGCATCCACACTATCAACTCATGGATTGAAGTGCCTGGATTACATAGTTTCTGGCTTCCAGATACATTGTGGAGTGAGGGTAGTATTTGTAACCGTGTCCAGATGACGTGGGGCAAGAACAATAAGGCACAACCATTGTGCAACACTACTAAAGCCGGGTATACACGTATACACAATACTATATTGGGTATTGGGACGCCAGCCTTTACACACACATGAACTTTAATGGTATCCCAGTCTTAGTCCGTAGGGTTCAGTATTGAGTTGGCTCCGCCCTTTGCAGCTATAACAGCTTCAACTCTTCTGGGAAGGCGTCCACAAGGTTTAGGGGTGTGTCTATGGGAATGTTGGACCATTTGTGAGGTCAGGTACTGATGTTGGAGGAGAAGGCCGGGCTCGCAGTCTCCGCTCTAATTCATCCCAAAGGTGTTTTATGGGGTTGAGGTCAGGACTCTGTGCAGGCCAGTCAAGTTCCTCCACCCCAAACTCCCCCATCCATGTCTTTATGGACCTTGCTTTTTGCACTGGTGCGCAGTCATGTTGGAACAGGAAGGAGCCGTCCCCAAACTGTTGCCACAAAGTTGGGAGCATGAAATTGTCCAAACTGTCTTGGTATGCTGATGCCTTAAGAGTTCCCTTCACTGGAACTAAGGGGCCAAGCCCAACCCCTGAAAAACAACCCCTCCCCCCATAATCCACTCTCCACCAAACTTTACACATGGCACAATGCAGTCAGGCAAGTACCGTTCTCCTGGCATAGAGGTCTAAGCAAGGGATAAATCGCTAATACAACAATCAGAGTCAGAATACAATTTGATTGCGCTTAGCATCTGCCTGAAGGCATCTCCCCTTTCTTATGTAATAGAGAAAACGCCAACTTTACTGCAATTAGACCATTTTCCAATCTTTTCTCTGACATCCACTTACTGAATGCGAAGATGGTATCCCAGCCCGAGAGATAGCGCTCCCAGTAAGGGAAGACCCGTCTGGTCCATAGGGGCATGAAAGTGACATACACAGAGTTTTTCAGCATGTAGGCGATCGAACTGACAAATTTCTGGGTCTCCATGGGGATGTTTTTATTAAGACAACCGGATCTGGCCTCAAATAAGATATAAGAGATTCCTGAAAGGAAATTTGTATTTTATTTTGATGAAACAATATCTTTTAGAACACAATGGCTGAAAGACACGACAGCATCGTCCATAGACACAGATCCTCAAATTCTCTGACACAAAAAAGGACATTAAAGAATGAAATTTATTGGCCCTTGACTGAACTTGGGTTACATACCGCCTCCCCCCCCCCCCCCCCCTGGGCCCCCGCCCCCTTTTTTTTTTTTTTGCGTTTGACATCAACCAAAGTAAAATCAGGTTTACAATTATTGTAAAAAATGCCATTATGTTACTATTAATCAGTCATAAAAAAGAAAAAAGAATGCTGAGCTAAAAAAAAACATCTCAAGTTCGCGTAACATTTAAAAAATCCAACCTTTTTAACAGATAAAACGTAAGTCCTGAGGGCAATTCAGATTCAGCCGATAACAAGCCTGACATACCACAAGTTTGTGCCCTTTCACTGCCTCTTGAAGCATTCACCTCCCCCCCCCTTGGGGCCCTCGCACCTTTTTTTGTGTGATGCGCTGTGTTAACACGCGTCCGATGTTACACTTTTTTGGGCCAAAATGCGCATTGTGTTAGGGCAACCCATTCAAATGGATGGACTGGCAATGCACCACGACGTCCAAAAAAATGTGCTGCACAGACTATATAAAGGGAGGATCTCTGTTGTATAACAAACCTTCAAAGGCTTAGTTCTATTGGCAATGTCCATTCCTCTGAATAGACTGGCAATGCACCACAATGTCCCAAAAAAAAGGACATATACCATTATTGGCATTGCAGCGCAGCACAATGCAAGTGCATGAGAGCTGTGTGTTGGGGTTCCATTCATGTGTATCACTCCTCACCACAAGGGTGTGAACGGGCCCTTAAGGGCCCCCACTTGCTGTAATTTATTTCAGGATTTGCATGGTTGTGTCATCTGATGCTGGGCTCATTATCACAAGCTGCACCGGCTATAAAAGAAAAGGGAGGACCTGCCATATAACAAACCTTCAAAGGCAAAGTTGTATAAGAGATTGGCGATGTCAGGGACTGTGTTTCCAGAGGCGCTCTCTCTGCGGATCTCCTGAATCCTCTCCATCAGATCCGTCACTACTTCATTAACGCTCCCTGTGTAGGCTCTGGCTTCAGTTGGCTTTAGCATTCTCTTGTTGAGCACCGTGCGGAGAGTGTGCCACTTGTGTCCCTGTCTGGAGACACAAAAAGGTCCACAATGAAAGAATAACTCCATCCAACAAGTAAAATGAATGCCCTCCAGCATGTACTGCAGCTCGGCTAAATGCACTCATATTACCTACATGTGAGGTTAAAAATAATCTGGTGCATCCCAATTCCAGGCTACCCCCCCCTCCCCCCCCCATCCCCCTTCCTGCTTCAGAGGCTTCCGTTGTATTTTCTGCTTAAAGGCTTAGTCCACCTTTTGCAAAAAAAACTGTAAATGCAGCAAAAGTCTGATCTCATGATCAATGTGCATTTACTCATTTTTTGCAATGAAGCCTGCAGAGCATTGCACCCACCATCAGTATGCAATATATTTCTCCCAGCCTCAGGTCCCTATGGAAATACGGACCTGCTGTTTTAAGGCTGGAGGAAGTGTGGTGGAACTATGGCTTAAACAGGGAGGAGGGATCACCCGCACGCTCTGCATAGTCCGACAAGATGGCAGCAGGGACTTGTAGTAATTTGCAGTAAGCAATCCCAGACTTTGTTGATGTGGCTGTGTGGGGGCGGAGCCAAGCATCGCTGCGCTAAATTTAAATATTTACAATATGCAACAGGGAGAAGCACCCCGCGATACAGGTAAGGGGGTGTTGGGTCTTGGGGATGGTGAAAGCGACCATACTTTTTGTTACACTCTATGAGTCTAAAAGTAGACTTAAAGTGACATTAAACCCTCAGATTTTTTAACATAAACCAATACTGTAATGTGCGCCTTACTGTAATCCATGGTAGTTTCCTTTTCTCTTTGCTGCTCTTCTTTTTAAATCTGTATCTGTTCTCATGCTGGGGGAGAACTTCCCTTTGCAGCTGAGTGCCTCTTCCTGTAGTGCTGGCTCAGGTTGTGAGCCTACACACAGACACCATGTATCCATTCCACAGACAAGGCAGTCTGCTGCAAAACAGAAGTTCTTCCCAGCATGAGAAGAGATAATGATTTAAAAGGAAGAGCAGCAAAGAGAAGGGAAACTACCATGGATTACAGTAAGGCGCACATTACAGTATTGTTTTATGTTAAAAAATCTGAGGGTTTAATGTCACTTTAAGCTGGGTATGCACATGTGGCCATCCCTATAATGAAGCGGCCTGAAGCGATTTCCTCAGGCGGCATCTCATTGGGTCAAGTGGGGGCCCCTTTCTGGCCAGAGTATCCCAGGTTGCTATGAGCTCCTAGCAACCTGCGAAGCTCAGTCCGGTATCCTGTCCTGTCCAGCTCACTGACATCACTGATTGCCAGGAGCTAAGCAGGATGTTCAGTGGCCCACACAGCTTCTGACAGCCACTAACATTAGTAAGCTGGGCGGAACGCTGGGTAGAGCCGGAGCCAGAGGTACCATGCAACACCAGCTCTCCCCTAAATGTGCATAGCCAGCACTCAATACCACTACACTTTTCCCGCAGTAACATGCACTCCCACTGCCACCCCAACTCCCCTCCGGACTCTGTCAGAATACTCCAACAGAGCTTGCAGCCAGTTAGCTGTGGCCTAGAATTCACTTGGATTAAGACCGGGGAGTTACTATGTCAGTGGTCTATGGCTCATATAACTCAGCCCTTATCTGATGAACATGTAACCCAGATTGGGGGCTTTGAGTTGTAGTTGAGTTGCTTTTTATCACATCGTTTTATAGAGGTGATCTTCTCAGTTGGGATGACTTACTCAGTAAAGGGACCGTAGGGTAAGTTCCTGATATCCCGGTGCTCTTTCCAGAGGTCCACTTCTGTTCTCATGGGATACTTCCCCTCTTGCCTCAGCACAACTTGGAGTAACTCTGGGTCCATAATATTCACCATTTTGTAGCGGCTAATAACCATCTTGAACAATGGCCCATAAACCTTCTTGTATTTTATCTGTCAATGACCAAAACATTATTAAGCAAGGAACACGCCATATAATATCTAAGAGGCTGAAAATGGTGTAGAGGGCAACAGGGACGATACCGGAGAAGTTAGCATCTTAAAAGGGGGTTATACAAGAAGGAGCCGAAGGATCCAGCAGTAGCTTCAGCTGATCCATCGGCTCTCTTCGGCCACCGGAGCCCTTCGGTTCAGTTGGACTGATGTGCTGCTGTACGGCCATTCACTATAGCCCGTACAGCAGCCGAAGGCGGCCGAGTGGCTCAGCCAAGCCGAAGGCATATGCTTCGGTTCGACTGAGCCGAAGTGACAGCCGAAGCGGGGCAAATGGCCTGCAGGCCTGTGATCTCACGGCTGGCTCAGCTTAGTTGTAATGACAGATCAGCGTCCCCAAATGACCTGGGGACGCTGATCTGTCATTAAACAATAACAACTGGACGGAGCCAGCTGTGACGTCACGGCTGGCTCCGCCCAGTTGTTATTCATTGGCCGGGACCTGCTAGAAGGCTCTAGCAGGTCCTGGCCAATAGGAAACTGTTGGGACGGAGCTAGCTGTCACTGTTAGCTCCGCCCAATTGCTTTATTATTTTCTTTTTTTTTTAAATTTATTTATTTTTAAATATTACTATTTATTTACATTTATTTAAAAAATGCCACTTTTTTCCCCCAGACTATTTTCACAGAGGTACCGAGCAGAATAGTCAAGCCGAATGCCGCTCGGTTATTCACTCACTGCCATTCGGTCCCTATGTGAATAGGGGTGAACGGCAGCGAGTGAGCTGCCGGTAGCTTCGGCTCCTTCTGCATTTCGGCTCAGCCGAACATGCAGAGCATGTTTGGCTGACCGAAGGCAGCCGTACAGAGCCGATGTACGGCTGATTTCAGCCCATGTACGGCTGAAATCAGCAAATAATCATTTATATGCTTTTACCTGCAATTTTTTTCGGTTGGTGACAAGGATCTACCATGCCAAACCTGCGTTACTTCAATTCACCTGCAGGTGGCTCCATCTGTCTGCATTTTATTGTATCCTCTAAACATGTGCACTGGCAAAAAATGTGTTTCGTTTCGATTACGAATTTGCGTTATTTCGGGATTCGGGTCCGAAATTCAATTTGTTTCGGGATTCGGATTCAGACAAAATTCGTTTGTTGGACGTAATTTCGTTGCAGCAAAATGACATTGGAAACATTTTTAGTCTGCAGATCAAGAAAAAACAAAGCGTGAGGTTCCCCCCCAATTGATACCAGACCCTTTAGGTCTGGTAGGAATGTTAGGAGGGACCCCCCCAGGTTGAAACAAAAAAAAAGTGCGTAGGGTTCCCCCAAAATCCATATTAGGCCCTTTAGGGCTACCAGACTCTTGATCCGAGCACTGGCCCGGCAGAGCAGGAAAGGGGGGGGTGGGATGATCGAGTGCCCCCCCTCCCTGTGCCTTACCAGGCCACGTGCCCTCGGCATTGGGAGTGTGTCCCCATGCCAATAGGGACAAGGGCCTCTTCCCCACAACCCTGACCCAGTGTTTGTGGGGGTCTGCGGGCAAGGGGGCTTATTTGCACCCCCGGACAACGACCGTCCAAACCCGACGAAAACTCGCCGAAAAATGACATTCCTGCTCGAAAGTAAACAGATGGGCGGAGCGAGCCGTGACATCACCGCTCGCTCCGCCCATTTGACATTCTCAGCTGTCAAATACTACATAGCATTTGGGAACTCCCGAGTGCTATTCGTGAGTTTCCGAATGCCATTCGGATCTGTGAGCCGAGGTGTCATATGAAAAGTATCTAGTATCCTCCTTTTGCACCTCAGCAATCCCTCAGGCCCCATTCACTCCAAATCCGTTAGCCGCTGCGGAGCTGTGTCAGTGACAGCCAGCCGCTGCGGCAGATGAGGGCGGTGTTCGGAATGGAGGAGGTGGGGCCGCCTCCTCTTACATCACTGTCCAGCGACCTAAGAGCAGGTGGGGCCAGTGATGTAAGAGAAGGTGGGGCCCATTGATAGCAGAGGAGGCGGGGCCCGGGGACGGAACAGGAGTCGGGGCCTGGGGACGGAACAGGAGTCGGGGCCCGGCGACCACAGAGGCGCTGACAGGTAAGAGATCTCAGACCCTGCAGAGCCCACTATAGAGAGTCTATGGTGGGCTCTGCAGGGTCACTCTCGCTGGGGCTCTGCAAGTGGCATGACTAGCAATCACGGGCCCCATACAAAATTTTGCTATGGGGCCCTGTGATTTCTAGTTACGCCCCTGGTACAATACCATACTTCTTAAAAAAGATCTGATATAGTTACATTTCCAGCATCCTTTGTGTTAACATACAGCAGCTTCACTGCTTCTGACTTCTGGGTCTCAGGGATACCTGCTCCCACACTGCGCACTGTGGCTGCTCCCGCTGTCTTGTAGGTCCTGTAGTGATGTATGAGCCATCAGGAGCAACCACAGTGTGTATCAGGGGAGCAGATATTCGGCTCACATAAAGCATTACAGAAAAAAACATTTCCTAAACTTTGCAGTGGGGCTTTTATTTCTGTACGTGCCCTTGTTGGAAAGGTCTTTTGTGACCACCGGAGCAGGAATGGCCCATTCACATTATTGTGGGGCATTATGCCATGTGTTGCGTTAAGGCAGCCAGAGTAAGTGGTGGCTACTGAATGAGAGCACAGCAAAAAAGGTGCATGTAGCGTTTCTGGCAATGCACCACATGTCAGTGCATTGTCACATGTTGCACTGTGCTGCAACGCACGTCTGTAATCGTTTATGGCACTACATTGCACAAATTCAGGCAACATTCACATCAGCGCATGGGATACCATACCGCAGTAGTGTGAGTGGGTGTGAAGTGGGCAGCCCAATGGCATAGTGGTTAGAGCTTCTTCCTTGCAGCACTGGGGGTTTGAATCCCGGCCAGGTCACTATCTTCAAGGAGTTTGCATGTTCTCCATGTGCTTGGTTGGGTTTCTTCAGGTCACTCCAGTTTGCTCCCACACTCCAAAGACATGCTGGAAGTTTAATTGGCTCCTGTCTACATTGGCCCTGTATGCAGGGCCGGATTTTCCACAAGGCCAACCAAGGCCCGGCCTTGGGGCAGCAGGGAGTAGAGGGGCAGCAGGGGTGTGGAATTCCTATCTCCCGACACCCAGGACATGCAGTTCCAGGCACCGGGCGGGTAGTTGTTTTCTACATTTAGCCCTGCTTTGGGCAAGCAGAGCTAAATGTACAGCGGGGAAGCTGCCACTTGTTTTATACAAGTGGTCTCAGCGATGTCGCAGAGATCACTTGTATGCCGCCTGCATACAGGGGGGCGCATTGAGGAACCTAGCCTTGGGGCAGCAGGGAGAGTAAATCCAGCCCTGCCTGTATGTATGTATGTGAGATAGGGACCTTAGATTATAAGCTCCTCGAGGGCAGGGACTGATGTGAAGGTGCAGCTGCATAAAATGATCGGCGCAATATAAATATCTGTAATAAATAATTAATAAATAAGTGATATGGAAAAAAAATAGTTTCTAATATATTTCTTAATTCAATAGGACACATTTATTCTATTTGGCTGGAGTTCTGCTTTAAAATGTTGCAGAACCGTCTCTCAGAACCAGACATGTGATAATACAAGGATGAAGGACGACAGAACAAAACAGAACATTCCTGTATGTCTGTCACGCAATGGGGCTGAGTGCCAGATCTATAGGATGAGGGAACCGGTTTGGTAAAGAAGAAACACGAATTCTTGGAAAACGGTGAGAACATTCACCACAACACGGCGCATTTAAAGGGTGACTGCACCTTTGTTAACCCCTTCAGCTCTCACACCTGTACATCCCCCTACAGACCGGAAACAATTTTCACATTTCTTCTCTGGGCCAATAATGTTGTCATAACATAAGATAACAAAGTAATACGTGCGTTGTCTTTGGGACAAGCGAGGCGCTCTGTTGGTGATACTGTCTTGCAAAAATGATTTTAAAGTGACACTAAACTCAGGAGGTAAATCTTATAAATACATTCAAGTACCTCAACTATGAACAACAATGTCTCTTATTTGTGTATCACTCGGCTGTAGATCCTCCAATCATCTCTGAATTGGTGCTGACACTGTCCTTCCTTCTGGAGGGGGGCTACTTTTGTCCCCCATGGTCCCTGTGTGTGTTGTGAAGTACTCACCGCTCCAAGCTCGCTCCCGGGATGGACTACAAGCTCAATACAAATGAGTAAACTAAACATGAGATTGTAGTCCATCACAGAACCCCCATCACAGGAGCGAGCTTGGAGTGGTGACTACTTCACAACAAAGGGGTTCTGGAATCCTTTCTTTTAATAAGCCAGTTTATGAATGTGTTTTTTAAAGCAGGATTCAACCAGACAGTCCGGGTTTTGATTCTTCTGTCTCGGTCCCAGGTGGCGGACGCTGGCAGAGAGACGAGGGGACATTCATCCGGCGGGATAAGGTATGCCACTGGGTCCCCTCCTCTCTCGTGTAGCTGTTTGGCTCTCAGCCCTTTACTGAGTGCCCAACTTTTCAAAGCGGGTGACACCAACATGACTGTCAGTCATGTTGGTGTCACCCCCTCTAATGGTGTCACCGTGTGTGGGCTGCCCCCCCTGCACCCTCCTTGTGACGCCACTGAGTGAGTAAATGTGTGCTTTAATTTGTCCTTTAATAAATAGACATTTGTTCTATGCGGCCAAAATCAGACTTGTGTGCTGCCCCTAGTGGCTGAAATAGTAATAACAAGGAAATCTCTACTTACAGTTAACTCATGTGAATGAAACAGATATCCTCTGATGAAGAACCAGTAGAGGTTGGTGAGCAGGGACGGTCCAGGTAAATCTTCAAAGGTTTTCATTTTTTTGTCCCCTGCTACCACTCCGGCTGCTGCGGCTTCAGTCACCGCTGCTCTGCGCTGCACCCTCCCTACCACGCAGGACTCCAGCGACAGGTGGCCCCGGGCCCCGAGGAACCGGAACGAGAGGGACCTTAATCCCACAGTGCTCATGGCTGCTGGGACTATTGTGTACAGCATTATTGTATTCTTCTCTCATATAAGAAAGACAGGTAACACCCATTCTTTAACTTCTTCAGCTCTGGAGAGAAAACTCACCATACAGAGAAACCGAAAACAAAAACATTGACAAAAACATCCGCCCACTCTTCAGGATTTGGCAGAGAGACGAGAGATCTCACATGGACAAGTTAAGACCGATATCAGTCTATTCTTCATTTAGTCCCTATAAATTAATCTCTTAGACCCTATTCACACTGAGCTACATCCAAAAAAGCATCTTGTTTTCAGCACTGATTTGAGCTGAGCGACATTGGGTTACAGTGCACATTGTGTCGCGCTACGTAGCGCGACTTTTGGCAGGGACTTTGTAGCTGCTACATTGGGCTGTAACCAATCAAAAGCGGTCTTGACAGGGACGGATGTCTCACAAGGCCAACCAAGGCCCGGCCTCGGGGCAGCAGAGAGTGGAGGGGCAGCAGGGGTGCGGAATTCCTATCGCCCTGGACATGCAGTTCCGAGAGCCGAGTGGGTAGTTGTTTTCTACATTTAGCTCTGCTTTGGGCAAGCAGGGCTAAATGTACAGCGGGGAAGCCGCCGCGTGTTTTGTACAAGTGATCTCAGTGATGTCGGCGAGATCACTTGTATGCAGCCTGCATACAAGGGGGCCCCATTGAGGAACCCGGCATCGGGGCAGCAGAGAGAGTAAATCCGGCCCTGGGTCTTGATGTGACATAATTCCTCTTCTTCTTCTTTCCTGCTTATGTTCCTTCTTTTATTTCTGTGCAAAAGTGACACTTCTGTAGCGCGACAATGTCACGCGACATTGAGCTACACCATTGAAGTCTATTGGGCCAAATCGCACGAAATCCGCCGACAAATAGGTCGTGTTCGAGTGACAAGCTTGAGCGACGAGCTACAGGTGACATTGAGCTGTGAGATGTGAACAGCTCCATTGAAATGCATTGGACGAGCGACATAGAGCGACATTGAGCTGATATTTCAGCGATGTTTGAGCTGAAATCGCGCTACAAATTGCTCAGTGTGAATGGGGTCTAATATATTGTACAAAATAATGAGATGAGAAACAACTTCACCGCTATGGAAGCCGGAAATTCTATTCTATAAATTACATTGTATCTAAGACCCCATTCACACTGAGCGACATGGATATCGTGCGTTTTTCCGCTCGATTTCGTGCTGAGCGGCTAGAGCTACATTGCGCGATATTGAGCGACATTGCACATGTTATCACGCTATGTAGCACGTTTTTTTGGGCAGGACTTTGTCGCTGCTACATTGGGCTGTAACCAATCAACAGCGATCTTGATGTGACATCATTCTTTCCTTCCATTTTGCAGTGCAAAAATGACCCTTCTGTAGCGTGATATGGCGCGACAAAGTCGTGCAATATCGCCGGTAATGCGCAATTTTGCGCTACACTATAGAGTCTGTTGGAGCCGAATCGCGCGACATCCACGGGAAAAAGGGTCATGTATGAGCAACAAGTTTGAGCAGATTTTTATTGTTTGTGTGCCCACTGGGGAGTTCAGTCTCTTTGTTCTCATGACCATTGTCATTGAACTTGATGGGAAATCCAAAGGGAAAGGTTTTCACGCAAGATTCCCAAAACTTTCACCCAAGATTCATTATGGACTATCACTGAAGATTCAGACTGTCCATCATACGATAATGCACAACCAACACAATAGAAAAAACATACATGACCCCTTTTTAATAATGCAGCGTGCCACAATGCATGCATGGGGTATACGGGTTGTGGTGCGCTGCAGTGCATCGTGGCTCACTGTCCAATGCGTTGGGGTGCAATTCACAATGAACGATACTGCAAAACACTTCTCATGGAGCAGGTGCATTGCCATGTGTTGTTGCATTGCACGCTATCTTGTGCAGTTTAGTCCTCCCCCAAAAAACTTTGGCTTTAAAAATTATTTAATCAATCATTCAATCAATCAATTAATATATCAATTATACATCATATAAATCAAATCAGTATTTCCAAATCGCGGGTTTTTTTTTTGTACCTATTTTCTGCCTCCGAGTAGAGTGGATTTTCACGAACTTTCACTTAGACCCCATTCACACCAGGGACATGCGGTCAGGGGATGCAGGTGGGGCAGAGCCTCACCTAGTATTATGGAGGAAAAAGCTGTCATCTTCAAGTCTGAAGCTGACAGCTTTTTCTCCATTCAGTGCTGCTTGTTACAGGTTACACAGCAGCAGTGGTGTCACAAGGGGGGTGCGGCCCGCACCCGGGTGACAGTCATTTTGGTGTCACCCCCCTCTGAAAAGTTGGGCGCTTGGTCATGGACCGAACGCCCGACAGTATCAGGAGAGAGGAGGGGACCCGGCGGCATACCTTATCCCGCCGGGTGGCTGTCTCCTCCTCTCTCTGCCGGCTCCCATCACCAAGATGGCCATCGGCAGGTATCAGAATACTGCAATGACGTCATCGCGCACACGCGTGGTGACGTCTCGGCGGGGTGACACTCGGACACCGCTCTGGGTGTCACCCAGCCTCGGGACGCCCCTGCACAGCAAGGAAATCCTCCCCACTGTGTGACCTGTCATAGATGGAGCGCTGCCTGTTATTTACAGGCGGCGCTGCATCCGGTTTATGACAGGTAGTTAGGTTACACAGCAGTGGGCTGTGAAAATAAGACCTACCCCGAAAAAAAGGTTTCGTACTATTTTTGGGAATTGCTAAAATATAAGACCTACCCCGAAAATAAGACCTAGTTGTGACCATTCCCAGGGCCGGTGGTGGCATAAGGGGGAGCCGCGGGAGAGAATAAGGGGTGCCAACGTTGCCAGCGCTAGAGGAAGCGGGGCGGCAGCGGAGGGAGCAGAGCAGCATAAGCAGATGCCTCCTCTATAGCGCCGGCTTCTGCCACAGGCGGAGTGATACTAAATACAAGACTACACTAGAGAAAAATTCAGAAGTTAGGAGGCCGCTGTCATTTGTGAGGAACACACGGAGCTCCCGGGATTTGTACATCTCTGATTTAATGTATGATTTTGTTTTTATAAATATAAATAAAGGGATGCACCGATACCAGTTTTGCGAGTACGAGTACTGGTACTTGCCGAGTACTTACAAGTACGAGTACTGATACATTTTTGTTTAGTGTCATGTGAAAGTTTTTCTAAAACAATACAGACTAATGATTTCAGGACAGTGGTGGAACACCAGAGCCAGGTCCCAGCTGCAACCGCGGTAGTTCTCGTGAGAATGCCAAGTATCGGCACTGATATCTGAACTGATATCGATGCATCCCTAATAGTAACTATAGGAGCCATGCATTGTGTCACTGGACCTGAACAAGGGATGACTGTGTGAGACTGAGTATGAAGAAAGACAAAATCCATTTATAACAAAGACTGAAATTATGTTTATTGTATGTACAGGACAACCGAGGTAATGATGAGTATTAAAATATTGACATTGTAAGATTGCAAGAAAGTGTTACATGTTAATATATATATATATATATATCAGGTGTGTGGAAATTTTGGAAAAAACTACTTGTCCAAGGACTAAAGCGGGGGCCGAATCTACTTGTCCTGATACAAATTTTTTTTTTTAACCAAAGCCGTGTTTAGCAGTGTTAAGAAGCGCTTCTCATTGGTCAGTGCCGTCAGGTGACCGCGTTGACCAACGAGTGCTTGCAATTTGCGAGCGAAATTCAGAATACATGGAACAGGTACAGATAGTACACCCGTACTGGTGGAGGGGGAAGGACCATTCGCCGAAAGGTAAGTATAGTGGGAGGGCGATTTGTGCGGGTAATTCCATTTCCCCAAATTACTTGGGAAAGTGAATTTACCCTTTAGGGTGGGTGCAGACCTGCGGATTCCCGGGACTTGCGATCGTGTGCGGCAGCCTCCGCATGTACGGGGTTACATCTGGGTGGCAATCGGTGAAAAAAAGGTACATGTACCTATTTTCACGACATGCACCGCGCAGTGTTTTCAACCGTGATTGCTGGAGGAAAACGCGCAATCTGCCTGGCACGACTGGGGTGCCATTAGAAAATAAGGACGCCCTGCTACTCAATGGAAGTCATGATATCCATACATCTTTTAGACGACCTCACTACAACCTGTCTAGTCATACTTCATCATGCAGGAAAACAGAGGTAACTTTATTGCCTCACGGCTATAGTTTAATAGTGAAATTGAAAACATTTGCACCAGAAGTGCAATTTTCGGCCGGCGCCCCCCCTTCACTTTTCGCACGGGGCCCGCGCCCCTGCTGCACCCCCGGTTGTTACGCCACTATTTTGCACACGCACAATGTGAACAGAACTCCAGGGATTGAGACTAAACTCCTGTGTTGCCTTAAGAAAACCACTTATCATGGAGGAAAAAATGCTTCAATTTGCCTGGGAGCATAAAGATTGGACTCTGGAGCAATGGAAAAGGGTCATGTGGTCTGAAGAGTCCAGAGTTACCTGGTTCCAGTGTGATGGGCACATCAGGTTAAGAAGAGAGGCGGATGAAGTGATGCCACCATCATGCCTAGTGCCTAACCTACAAGCCTGGGGGGGGGGCAGTGTTATGATCTGGGGTGGCTTCAGTCGGTCAGGTCTCAGTTCAGCAATGTTATGAGGTCAGCTGCCTACCTGAATATACTGAATGATCAGGTTTTTCCATCAATGGATTATTTCTTCCCTGATGGCACATTGGGCATATTCCAAGATGGCAATGCCAGGATTCATCGGGCTCAGAGTGGTTCAGGTAACATGAGACATCATTGTCACACATGGATTGGCCACCACAGAGTCCAGACCTGAACCCCATTGAGAATCTTTGGGATGTGCTGGAGAAGACTTTACACAGAGGTCTGACTCTTCCATCATCACTACAAGATCTTGGGGAAAAATGAATGCAACTCTGGATGGAAATAAATGTTGTGACATTGTATAAGCTTATTGAAACAATTCCACGGAGAATGTGTGCCGTAATCAAAGCTAAAGGCGGTCCAACGAAATATTAGAGTGTGTGACTTTTTTTTTTGGCCAGGCCGTGCACTTGATTTTTCTGTGTTTTACATGCATTTTTTAAGTTGGTGACAGGGTCTCTTTTACTAAATCTTTTACTATTTGACTGCTATGGTAACTTCTTCCCCCTACCACATCAATAGACTCTCATAGTGATGGGCAGCCTCGTCAATAATAACAAGGTGTATATGGGGGTTGACTGAAGCTGGACTTGGCCCACAGAAGCTTTTATTTTGCATCCCTGGGAGACGTTAACAAAGGGTTAAAGAGTCAATTGATTTATTTCATAGGGAAATGATATTGATTTTTGTTTCATAAACACGCATTCTGGGGATGTCAGGAACAGCCACGCAGAGGGCCCTTTGGTTTCAGTAAGCACGTTAAGCAGATTTCCTCTCTAAGAACCTCAGGTTTATGGGCCGGTTTGCTGACAGGACGACACGCGCAATTGTTTTTACATTTCCCAGTTTAGGATCAGGTTTAACCTCGAACATCCGGATAACCTGTAAGAGAGGAAACCAAACGGTTACAAAGGGATTCCAGCTTATCTCAGAATGTCTTTAAAAGATAATTAAAGCCTCCGGTGTTTTTGTATAAACACTGAGCGGCCAGATTATTATGACCACCTGACGTTTGTAGGCTAATTAGCTATAATTTGGCGCTGAAGTTGCTAGAGGGCCAGACCATTATAAATAGGGAAGCAGGTTGGTTACCACGACAGTAGAAGTGATTTGTTTCTGAAGATACGGGGAAACAACGCGATTTAACAGCCTTTGAACGTGGGATGATTGTTGGCGCTCGGAGCCATGGAGCGAGTATCAGCAAAACAGCAGAATTCGTTAAATGTTCAAGAGCAGCTGTTGTTAAAGTGTTTAAAGACTGGACTGTCAGCCGAAAATCTGGGTCTGAACGTGCGGTATGTGGCCGTCAGCGACTAGTCAATGTTAGGGCAGAACGGAGAGTGGCAAGACTGGTACAAGACAACAGAAGGACAACAGTGCCGTGTCAGATTCCTCGCATCACCTTTCATCATCTCGTGGAGTCACGAGGCGGCCCAACGAAGTACTGATGGGGTGGTCATAATAATCTGGCCACTCAGTGTATATGTGGCTAGCAAGCAGGAGATATATGCAAAAAGTGTCAAAACAAAACGCTTTGAAAAGGGTTAATACTTACCCGTGTCTTCCCCGCGCGCTCCCGTCCGAAAATGTGAAAAATGTCGGGCAGCCGCAAAGCAGCTTGGGGCGGGCGCATGCGCAGATCACATTTTCGGCCGGGACGCAAGGGGAGACACAAGGTAAGTCTATGGACGTGTGCACCCGCATGCAGACACCGTGAGACAGGAAGTGCGGGACAGTATTTTCCAACCGGCATAGGGACTCCCTTGGCTTTCCCTTCCCCAAACTCTTGTGGTTGATCCCTCCTATTAACTTTGTGTCTTCATTTCTATTTCATTAAATACATCGCATGAGGGCAGTGGCGTAACAACCGGGGGTGCGGGGGGGTCACTTGCCCCGGATCTTTTGCACCTTCACCATTGGCCGCTTACCCTTGAAAGTGCCAGATGCATCTCCAGCTCGGCGATTCTCTTGCCCACGCAGGCTCGCACCCCATAGCCGAAAGGAATGGCAGTGAATGGGTGATAGGTCTTCCCTTCATCCCGCAGCCACCGCCGAGGATTAAACTTCTCTGGATCCGGGAATTGGGCTTCGTCCCTGCAGATGGCGTAATGGTATAAGACGAAGAGTGTCTGGAAGAAGAAGAAGATTAGAGACAGCTAGTGCACCTCTCCTGTATACACATCCACACACATTCTTTTTCTTCTCACTGCACCAGTCAAAGGTCCATTCTAGTCATCTCATCAATGTGAAGATACTTTAATGCTGACAAAATAATCCTTGAGGTTGGAGTTTTGAAGCAACTGGGTTAAAAGGAGAACTATGAGGTGAGTGGAAATCACTCATCCTCATAGTTCGAGCCAGCCTGTGACAATGAGACTGTCACACGTCGGCTCAATAGATCTGGAAGTAAACATACACATACCGGCGCTCGCTCACTTCTTGATCCTGTCCCTGCAGAGAGCCGTGACTGTCACTCACGGCTCCCTGCAGTGATTCCCCCCCCTCCCCTGTCCGATCCTCCAGTGCTGACTGGGGGAACGGATGGGGGAGGGCCGGGTACAGCTGGCTCTGCCTCTAGATAGGCAGAGCCAGCTGTCAATCACGCAGCTGGGTGGATCTTGACAGTAATGTCGGGATCCGTCCCGGCTGTGGCGGTCTCAGTATACCGCAAGCTGTAGCTCGCAGTATACTGAGCTTTGGGTCACGGGAGGACGCTAGTTTGTGTCCTCCCATGCCCCATAGGAGAACTTACCCCATAGTTCTCCTTTAAACACATCCCAACTTCACAGAACCAGCTGCTACTGGCCCTAACTCACTGTACATTGTTCTTTTCCTCTCATTGCACCAGTTGAAGCTCCATCCTAGTCCTCTCATCAATGTGAAGCCACTTTAAAGCTAAGAAAATAATCCTCAAGGTTGGAATTTTGAAGAAACAAGGTTAAACACCTTAAAGCCCAACTCCACATTGACCCCCACTAGCCCTCCCAAGCACCTTTTTTTAACATATAATTGACATTCTGCAATCCAAGATGTCTTCTGGCTGGTCCTTTGAGGAACAAGGTCCTTCTCCGACATTGGCAGTCCAGTCTCCTGCACAGACTAGCACGCAGGGCCGGATTTCCCACAAGGCCAACCAGGGGCAGCAGGGAGTAGAGGGGCAGCAGGAGTGTGGAATTCCTATCTCAGGACATGCAGTTCCGGGCGCCGGGCGGGTAGTTGTTTTCTACATGTAGCCCTGCTTTGGGCAAGCAGAGCTAAATGTACAGCGGGGAAGACTCCACATGTTTTGTACAAGTGAACTTGGTGATGTTGCCGAGATCACTTGTATGCAGCGCCTGCAGGTCTGCCATTCTCCATGGGGGGGTTGGTGGTTAGAGGGGTGTATTTAGGAACCTGGCCTTAGGGCAGCAGAGAGAGTATATCCGGCCCTGCTAGCACTCATGTTATTATGTGTGAATGCCAGCGTTTGCAGTATTCCACTGTGACCCTGGCTGTGTGAAGGCCTACCTCCATGTGTCAATGACAGCCTGGGTAAAGAGGAAGCAGATTGATGCGGGATGTGGGGATAGCCATAGTGTCGTTTTTTGTGTTTATTAATACAGGGGAGGATTTTTTCCCCAAAAGAATAACTGGAGATGCGCTTTAAAGCACCTCTCACTGAAAGCAGAGACAGCCAGGCAATTCGCATTTTTTATCAATGGGGCCCCCGGTGTATTAGTATTCAACAGACTCCCTTTAACCACTTGTTGTTGTAAATAAAGGGCCGTATGGCTCACCCCATGACAGCGGGCGGGTTTTATAACTGTCCTTTCCTGCTCCTACTCCAGATGCCGCGTGCCCTATCTCCTCTCCTCTGAATATGGGAGCTACATGGGCCTCCTGACCAATCAGCTGCAGAGTGGGGCATTCCCTGCCCCGCAGATGGCCATAAATAAAGGGGTGGGATGCTTGTGCTGACTTCATATACCCTATATAGCCACGGGGCCATTAGGGATGAGCTCAGGTTTGGACTGAACATTCAGTCCTAACCTTAGCTCCTCCAAACCCGGGAGGAGCCCTTCCCGAATATGGAAGGAAGCTCATTCTGTGCCAACCAATCAGCTGCTGGTGGGGAATTCCCCATCTGCAGCTTGACGTGCAGGAAGCTAAGATGCAGGGATGTCATTGACCTTATATGGCCACATGCCTACATTTAGTAAAGAACATTGTGGTCATGTTAGGTAAATGACGCCAACACAAGCATCCCACCCCTATGCATCTGCGGGCAGGGAATTCCCCAGCCAATGGCACTACCATATTCGGGGGATCTTATCTCCAATGGCTGTATTAAATGTAATTCACCTAATATAGCAATGTAGCCAAATAGGATCAATGGCATCACTGCATCCCGCCCCTTTCCTTACCTACAGGGGCGGCCAGGGAATTCCATGGCCACAGCTGATTGGGTGGCAGCGGAAGAGGCTCCTTCCGTGATTGGAGGAGCTCAGGTTCGGACCAGGTTTGGCTTGGTCCAAAACTCAAAAGCTGTACAACAAATCCTACTGAATTTGACTGAAATTAATCATTCAGAACTCACACGCTGAGTGGAGCTTCTAGTGTTAGTGTATTTGCAGGATGTTTTCGGGCATACAGTATATGTGGTTTCAACACTCACTCTCTTGGGGAATTTGTAACCTTCAAGGACCACCTCCTTGTCAGTGATGATTCTTGCATTGGTCGGAATAACAGGATACAACCTGCACATAGGAAGGAGAATGTGTCAGTGGCACTAGCAAATGCAGCATGGCAGTGTATGACAGAGGTCAGAACAAGGAGTCTATTAAAAAAAAAATATATATATCTATTTGCCCAGTGAAACTGCACATGAATTAGTTTGTGAGAATGGTGCAAATTAGAATGTTCTTAGGCTATTTTCTCCTCTATTCGAATGTTCTTCAAATATCATGTGTATATATATATATATAAGAGCATAAAAGTGGTTATTCACTTAGCTGCCAAAGGCAGCCGAGTGAATAACCCAGCCGAAGTGAAGGGGTCCCGAACGCTGTACGGCTATTCACTTTAGCCATACATCAGCTAAAATCAGCCATACAATCGGCTGCCTTCGGTCATGTTCGGCAGAGCCGAAGTGCAGAAGAAGTTCTACTCAGCCGATCCAACATGTGGATCGGCTGAGCCGAAGCGCCGACATCTCACTCGGGGAATCTGATGAAGGAGCTGATCTCCCTTCCTCTTCCTCCTGACGCCCTACCGAGCCGGTCCCGGGCCGCAGATGGGGCAGCGGATCCCCGGATTGAAGGTGAGGGGTCAGGAGGGGGGCAGGTCCCGGGCAATAAATAACAGCAGAGCGGAGCCGGCTGTGACGTGACGGCCGGCTCCGCCCATTCGTTATTGTTTAATGACAGATCAGCGTACCAAGGTAATTTGGGGACGCTGGTCTGTTATTACAACTGGGCGGAGTGAACCATGAGATCACGGCTGGCTCTGCCCAGCTGTTATTTGCGTGGAGATCAGTCGGCTTAGACCGACCTTTCTCCATGCTTTACCTGTCGCTACTGCTCAGCAGAGCAGAAGCATATGGGTTCAGCTCGGCTGCCTTTGGCTGCTGTATGGGCTATAGTGAATAGACTGTACAGCAGCCCTTCGGTTCGACTGAACCGAAGGGCTCCGGGCGGGCGAAGTGAGCCGAAGGATCAGCTGAAGCTATGGCTGGATCCTTCGGCTCATATGTGAATAACCCTCAAAGTGAACCATGAACATACCACATTATGACCACTGGATGGTGCTGAGGATGATACCGTGTTTCCCCGAAAATAAGACACTGTCTTATATTTTTTTTGCCCCCCAAAAAACACACCAGGTCTTATTTTCAGGGGATGTCTTTTTTTTTTTAATGTACAACATAATGGTCAGTATCGGTAATGCTGATCCCTTTCTTTCACTTACACAGGCGGAGCGCATCTGGTATTACTCCGCCTATCACAGTAACCGGTGCTATAGAGGAAGTATCGGCTAATGCGACTCTGCTCCCTCCGCCGTTGCAGCCTTGCTTTCTACAGCGCCGGCTTCCTTTGCCATCAGGGACAGCTGTACCAGTGGTGCAGCAGTGGGGACATCAGTCAGTGGACAGCGCGGTAAAGTACAGTACCATTTACCGGTACACATTACAGTACAGTACCATTACATTATGCAGTGCCTTCATGGGGACAGAAGTTGGTGAAGTATGGTACTGGAGTGCTCCCTGTCAATGCGCTTGTCGGGGAGTCCCCTGTCATCCCCTTAATACAGTATGTCCCTGCAGGCTGATACCATCTCTCCTGCTCTTCAAGTTTCCCCTCACATGTTACCACCAAACTAGGTCTTATTTTCGGGGTAGGTCTTATATTACAGGAATCTTGAAAAATAGTGCTAGGTTTTACTTTCGGGGTAGGTCTTATTTTCGGGGGAAACAGGGTAGGAAATAAATAGATTTTGATAACAAGAGATACAATGTAACAATTCTATAGAAATGCTACTACGAGATCCCATAATAGCAATGGTTGCCCCATTCTCACAACAGCTTGTTCATTCACATAGAATGAATGATCAGGCAGGTTCACTGGACGAATAACTATGCTTTTTTTGTTTTTATAAACAGACTCCTTAAAGTGTATGTCTCGGGCAAAAAATAAAATGCAGTACATCTCTGCAATACATGCACATGTTTTATCCCTTCTTTATATGCTGTATAAGATGAAGACAAAGACGATGAAAAAGAAGAAGACAACAAAGAAGAAGAAGAAGAGGAAGACAAAGAAGAAGAGGAAGACAAAGAAGAAGAAGAAGACAAAGAAGAGGAAGACTAAGAAAAAGAAGATGATGAAGAAGAAATTGAAGAAGACAAAAAAGAAGACGAAGAAGAATAAGACGAAGAAAAATACGACGAAGAAGACGAAGACAAAGTAAACAAAGAAGAAGGAGAAGAGGACAAAGAAGAAAAAGAGCATGAGGACAAAGAAGAAGACAAAAAAGAGGAAGACGACGACATAGAAGAACACAAATAATAATAGGAAGAAGACGAAGAAGACGAAGAAGTGAAAGAGGACAAAGAAAAAGACAACAAAGAAGAGTAAGAAGACAAAGAAGAGTAAGAAGATGAAGTAGAAGAAGACGATGAAGAAGACAAAGAAGAAGAAGGCAAAGAAGAAGAGGAAGAAGATGACATAAAAGAAGAAGAGGAAGAAGAAGACAAAGAAGAAAAAGAGCATGACTATGAAGAAGAAGACAAAAAAGAGGAAGAAGACGACATAGAAGAAGAAGACAAAGAAGAAGAACACAAATAATAATAGGAAGAAGACTAAGAAGAAGTGAAAGAGGACAAAGAAGAGTAAGAAGAAGACATACAAGAAGAAGACAAAGAAGAAGAAAACTAAGAAGAAGAAGAAGTGAAAGAAGACAAAGAAGAAGGTGCAGAAGAAGACAAAGAGGAAAAAGAAGACAAAGAAGAGGAAGAAGAAGAAGACAAAGAAGAGGAAGAAGAAGAAGACAAAGAAGAGGAAGAAACAAAATAATGGAAACAACATATGGTAAGGCAGTCACTGTGACAATGACATCTGCGAAGGTGTGTCATGTTAGCGTTAATTGCCAATTAGCAGTATTTGTCAGCTGCAAGATCCCAATCACGTGGACATTGTTTAAAGGGAACGCATAGAAATTTTTCACTGAGTATATAATGTAATGCTGCAGTCATTTTTTGTAAGACTTTCACATATTTACAAGCCTATTCTTTCATATGTTTGTTATTGTATTAAATATAAGACTTTCCATTAACACATGTCAATATTTATTTACATGTAGCGGATCTCTTTTACATGTTTACCTACAAAAAGAAAACATTGAGAAGACTGAGCATGACCTTTTAAGGCAATTCATCCTTGAAATTCAAAACAGAAGCACTGACAGTGTCCAAGATGGTTAACTCCTCACTTTGCTCCCCCATCCCACAGCTTCAAGGTTGTGTTCACAATGGAGATTAGATGTTGGAAGGCTGCTGGTCACTGCCGGTGGGGGAGAGCTGATAAGTCACTACTGGGAGGGGCATCTAAGCTAATAAGTCACTTCTGGGAGGGGGAGCTGACCTAATAGCTCTCTACTAGTAGGTGGAGCCGAGCTGCTAAGTCACTGCTGGGAGGGGGAAACAGGGTGAGCTCACTGCTGGTATAGGGGAACTGAGCTTCAGTGTCACTGCTGTGAGGGGAAGGGCGAGTTGAGCTAAGCTGCTGGGTTACTGATGGAAAGGTGGAGCTGAACCTTTGAGTCACTGATGGGAAGGAGGAGCACGGAGAGCTGAGATGCTGAGTCACTGCTGGAAGGGGGAGCTGAGCTTCTAAGTCACTGCTGGGGAAGGGGGCAGGTTGAGCTGGGAGTGGAGTGCAGGTTGAGCTGGGAGTGGAGTGCAGGTTGAGCTGGGAGTGGAGTGCAGGTTGAGCTGGGAGTGGAGGGTAGGATGAGCTGGGAGTGGAGGGTAGGATGAGCTGGGAGTGGAGTGCAGGTTGAGCTGGGAGTGGAGGGCAGGTTGAGCTGGGAGTGGAGGGCAGGTTGAGCTGGGAGTGGAGGGCAGGTTGAGCTGGCAGTGGAGGGCAGGATGAGCTGGGAGTGGAGGGTAGGATGAGCTGGGAGTGGAGGGCAGGTTGAGCTGGTAATGGAGGGCAGGTTGAGCTGGGAGTGGGAAGCAGGATGAGCTGAGCGTCATGTTTTTATTTATACCTGGAATTATATGAAATCTGTTTTTCAAGTTTGATACAACGTTGAACTTCATTTTAAATGCATTGCAAAACTATTCACCCGACTTTGCAAAGTTAAATCTACTATTTTATATCCAGCACAATGTTTCCTTGTGGAGAAGAAGCTAATACAGAATTCACAATGCTGCGATCCTAGTTTATAATCATGGTGTGTTCCCATCCTTGGACTCACCGCAGGGTCTCTTTGATGACAGCCCTCAGCAGGGGCATATGGGCGATATCGTCTGCGGTGGGTGTCCTATTTAATGGAGCCACCTTTATGATCTCCTGGTACAGGGTTTGCTGGAGCTCGGGGTCTCTTGCCAAGTGATAGAGAGACCAGGTTAACGTGTTGGATGTCTGCAACAGGAAAAGAAGCAAAGAGGTTATTTGTTGTTTTGTATGTAGCAAAGCAACCCGTATGTACCATCAGCAAAACAGGCTGAATTCTGTTACAAAAAATGAGGGCATGATGCCGAAAAATTCCCCATATCTGGGGGAAGTGACCATCATTGTTGGTTTTATCGTTGACGTTGACAAGCAGATCTAAACCCAAGCACTAAGATTTCATATAAGCTTATATTTTAGACCTGAAACTTTCATGGAAAGAATGCCTGCTTATCCTGCTATGCAGGTCCTCCCCCAGGCACTTCCTGTTATTGGGTGACAACTGTCTACCAATTGCACCCTGTCACTTGTGTCCCTGGTGGGGACTTCACATGCCGAAACGCATTGCTCGGGCATTGTCCATCATTGTCACCAGGGGTGTATCTACCGCAAGGCAAACTAGGCAATTGCCTAGGGGGGCACTTTCCAGGGGGGCAGCGTTTTCTGCAAAGAGCCAGACTTACCTTTGGGCATACCAGGCACTTGCCCGGTGGGGCACAGAATCAGGCAGTGGGTGGCTTGGGGCTGGCCATAGCATGTGATCTGATGGTAGGCCTCCCAGAAGCAGGCTGGGGGACTGCAATGTATCCTGTTGGTACTGATGGCACTTCGGGCTGCAGGTAAGAGGAGCAGCACAGGGAAAGGGACCCTTCTCAGCCCACCATAGACCTCACACAGCCCACCATAAAGCCTGCACAGCTCTCCTGAGACCCCATAAAGCTCACCGGAAACCATGCACATCTCTCCTCCCCCGTATGATCCCATGTGTGCTGGATCCAGTGACTGACGGGTTGCACAAAATGTCCTAAACAGGAAGGGGCGGGGCACATTTGGATTGAGGGGGGTGCCCGAGTTAAGTCTTGCCTAGGGCAGCACAAAACCAAAATACACCACTGATTGTCACTGCCAGGAAGTCAGTCCAAAGCAATGATGTGCAGTCCATGTTGGTGAAAGTGCTTGTAGAGAAGGTGTGTGAAAAAGGCTAGAGGAGATCAGCAGCATTGGGAGTCATGCCTGTGGCTGTCAGAGTCTTGCAATGACTCATGGGAATTGTAGTTCCACAACTACATCGGCGGCACTACATCACTATGGTAAAGGAGGCTCACAGCACAGTGCATAGGATCTAATAGGAGCTGACTATGCTTTGTGTTTCTTCTGCGATGTGTATTTATGTGTTTTTTTGTTTTTTTTTATGCAGGTGGTGTTAAGAATCCTCAGATTGCAGATGCTTAAAGGAGAACTATGGGGTCAGGGCTTTTCCCCATAGTTCTCCTTAGGGTAACGGGAGGACACGATCTAGCGTCCTCCCGTTACCCTAAGCCCAGTATACCGCGAGCTACGGCTCACGGTATACTGAGATGTCGCAGCTGAAGCGGATCCCGACATCGATGTCGAGATCCGCCCAGCTGCGTGAGTGACAGCTGGCTCTGCCTATCTAGAGGCAGAGCCAGCTGTACCCGCCCCCTCCCCCGTCCGTTGCGCCAGTCAGCGCTGGCGAGCGGGGAGAGGGGAATCCAGCCCCTCCCCTGTCACGGCAGAGAGCTGTGACAGGATCGAGAGGTGAGAGAACGCCGGTATGTGTTCGCTCACCTCCCGATCTACTAATGCCGACCTGTGATAGTCTCATTGTCACAGGTCGGCTAGAATTATGAGGTGAGTGAAAAGCACTCACCTCATAGTTCTCCTTTAAATACCACAAAATAAATAGGATACACATTGATTGCGTACAGTGTCCACGCCGGCCAGCAGCAGCTCGCACACACTGCCGTACACCTCGTCCATGGTCAGTTGTCCGTTGGACAGAAGGTAGGTCAGGTACTCCCCCTGGACCTCGTCTCCCCTGTCCAACCTTTCCTGGATATCATTCATCTTCTTATCAATCAGCTTCTTTCCTGTAAACAAACAAGAGAGTTGTGATAGCGCCGCCCTGCTGTCCGGTTAAGAAACACGAGAAATTAAAGTCTAAGCTACCTGGACAGTTCCTATAAAGTAGCCGGACAATGCTGATAAAAGTTGCTACAATTAAAGGAGAACTATGAGCGGAGTGCTTTTCACCCAGCCTCATAGTTCCAGCCGACCTGTGACAATGAGACTGTCACATGTCGGCTCAATAGATCGGCAAGTGAGCGAACACATACCGTCGCTCGCTCACTTCCTGATCATCTCCCTGCAGAGAGCCGTGACTGTCACTCACGGCTCCCTGCAGGGATGCCCCCCCTACCCTGTCCAATCCTCCAGCGCTGACTGGCAGAATGGACGGAGGAGGGGGCGGGTACAGCTGGCTCTGCATCTAGATAGGCAGAGCCAGCTGTCAATCACGTAGCTGCTGGGATATCGCCAGTAATGTCGTGATCCGTCCTGGCTGCGGCGTTCTCAGTATACCGCGAGCTGTAGCTTGCCATATACTGAGCTTTGGGTGACGGGAGGAGGCTAGTTTCTGTCCTCCCGTGACCCTAAGAAGAACTATGGGGAAAAACACTGACCCCATAGTTCTCCTTTAATTACAGAAGTGTTGCCGTCATTTACTTACTTGATGGAACAATAGACTTTCTATGCGATAAGCTACATTGTAGCGATAAAGGGACGTTTGAACATTTGCAAGATTATTTTTTTTTTTTTTAATGTAATGGTGTTATATTGTGATCAAGAGAATAAAGAGAATAACTGAAGCGCTGGATCTGAAGAATAGGAATGTTTTTGTTGCTTTTGTAATGGCCGGATATGTCACGCTGATGTTCTGATGGTGTTGGTTGTGAATATTATAAAGTATATTTTGTATGTGTTGGTAGAGTTTGCCTGTTTGTTAAAAATAGCAATAAAAATTATCTGAATTCTATTAAAAAAAGGACCATTCACAGCAACGTGGTCTGCTGCGGTGCATTTAATGCATGCATGGTAACATGCATTGCATTAAAGGCAGTCCGTTCATTTGAATGGGCTACCTAAGGCACCGCAAATTGCTCTTGGATCATTTCTGTTGCACTGGGAAGGTTCGCTGGGCTGCCATTCAGAAAGCAGCACCCTGGTGTGAAAGGGCCCCAATTGTGTATGATGGCACAATGCTGCAATGTCGTGCCAGTTCTGGGTATGTTGTAAATATGCGCCATACGTGTGCTATTATAGCATGCCTTCAGTGCCATTAAAGGAGAACTATGGGGTTAAGTCTTTTCCCCATAGTTCTCCGTAGGGTAACAGGAGGACACAAACTAGCGTCCTCCCGTCACCCTAGGCTCAGTATAGCTGTAGCTCGCGGTATACTGAGACGCCGCTGCTGAAGCGGATCCCAACAATTGTGCCGGGATCCGCCCAGCTGCGTGACTGACAACTGGCTCTGCCTATCTAGAGGCAGAGCCAGCTGTACCCGCCCCCTCCCCTGTCCGTTCCGCCAGTCAGCGCTGGCGGATCGGGGAGGGGGAATCCAGCCCCTCCCCTGTGACGGCAGAGAGCCGTGACTGGATCGAGAGGTGAGCGAACGCCGGTATGTGTTCGCTCACCTCCCGATCTACTGAGCCGACCTGTGACAGTCTCATTGTCACAGGTCGGCTAGAACTATGAGGTGAGTGAAAAGCACTCACCTTATAGTTCGCCTTTAAGCACTCCTCAAGTGTTATTGCAGCCTGGTGAATCAAAGCCAATATTTGCATACTGCTCTACTCAATATATCCATGCAGATCAGTAAACTTAGAAATCCGTGTTCATGATCTGGATCAGAACACATTTTAGCTGCAGACCTGGTCATGTCAAATGTGACATCATACTATATGATTGGTAAAACTGTACAGTGTGTTGTATGGGGGTTTAGTGCCCCCTAAAGGTCATCGTACATTATCACACACAAACTTCCTTTCCGCCTTTTCATTTTCAGAGATGTCATCCTGGGAGGTCAGTTTACAGGGTGATGAGGCAGGGGCACACTAAATTGTGGCTGAATTTCTAAGGGGCGTGGCTTAAAAAGGACGTATGAATGCACACAGCAAACATGGAGATGTTGTGTAGACACTGAGAATGACACCCGGCATACAGGACAAGAGAAGCGGTACTGTGCAGAGTCCATACTCATAGAATAAGAACAGATACTGAGAATGACACCCGGCATACAGGGCAAGAGAAGTGATACTGTGCAGAGTCCATACATACAGAATAAGAACAGATACCGAGAATGAGGGGGAGGGGGGTGGGGTTATAGGATTAGAGATGTAAAAAAAAAGGGTGACTCTGGATCTGAGGGTGAGTTGGCATGGCTGCACTTACCAAAATCAAAGATTCTATCCCAGCCTTCTATGTAAGCCTTCCAATACGGTAGGACTCCTCTGGTCCAATCGGGTAGGTAAGAGGAGTAGACGGAATTCCTCAGCATCTCGGCGATTGAATTGATAAACCTCTGAGTCTCTGCGGGGATCTGCTTATTCAGACATCCAATCCGGGTCTCAAACACGATATAGGAGACTCCTAGAAGAGATCATGTGATGTCAGGTCACCCATACACCTTACAATCTGACTGTACAGTGCACTAGTTACCAAAACTATGTATTATGAGAACTGAATCTGAACTCTCCAATCAGGCCGGCCCTCGTACTACGTATTCTTTGGTAGTTCCCACCTGAGCATTTTGTGGGATGACAACACTCAGCATGAAGAATCCCATTATTTTCAATGGTGCCTATTTACACCCGAGTATTGCGCCGCTCATCACTTGCAGCTCCAAAAACTACATGAGATTTTTTGGGGGCGCATTTTTGGCCATGCAGACATTAATCGGAGCGACTGTAGAATGAGTAACTTGCGTTTTCCATATGATTTTGCACCTAACCACTTTACATTGGCTGGAACAGAACCGCTCAAGCCTGAAAATGCCAAAATAAGCAAAACAAATCCTCAAAATCGCCTAAAAAGATGCTCACGCTCAGGATTGTATGGTCAGACTTTAAAGTGTGTGGTGACCCTGCACTGTGAGTTTTTATCTTGTTTAGCCCCAGGGGAATCCCCCCCACCCCTTCCCAACAGCTTTCAGAATACGCAACCAGTGACTGCAGTTGATTGGCTACCATTCGGCTAACGTGACGTGCCGCCCGTTTTCCTGATTGATATTTTAGTCTGTTTCTTTGAACTAAAGTAGGAGGGCAGAGCCATTATTAAAGGAGAACTATGGGGTTAAGGCTTTTCCCCATAGTTCTCCTTCGGGTAACGGGAGGACACAAACTAGTCCTCACCGTCACCCTGTGCTCAGTATACTGCGAGCTACTGCTCGCGGTATACTGAGACGCTGAAGCGGATCCCAACAATTATGCCGGGTTCCGCCCAGCTGCGTGATCCCGACATTACTGGAGATATCCCAGCAGCTATGTGATTGACAGCTGGCTCAGCCTATTTAGACGCAGAGCCAGCTGTACCCGCCCCCTCCCCTGTCCGTTCCGCCAGTCAGCGCTGGCAGATCGGAGACGGGAGGGGGGAATCCAGCCCCTCCCCCTGTCACGACAGAGAGCTGTGACAGGATCGAGAGGTGAGAGAACGACGGTATGTGTTCGCTCACCTCCCAATCTACTCAGCTGACCTGTGACAGTCTCATTGTCACAGGTCGGCTAGAACTATGATGCTGAGTGAAAAGCACTCGCCTCATAGTTCTCCTTTAAAACTTAATTTTCCAGTCTGGGGATTGTATCTGCGGCTTAACTCTGCAGACATCGGTACAAAACTGGCAGCGCCGCACGCACCTTCAAGAGCGAATCGATAGAACTCATTGGCCACGTCCTTGACCATGTCGCCGCTGGGGCTCTCTTCCCGCAGGTCCTGCAGCCTGACTACCAAGTCTGTCACAATGTTGTTGATGCTCCCGGCGTAGCTCTTGGCTTCGGACGGTTTCAGCATCCTCTTGTTCAGGACGGTGCGCAGGGCGTGCCATCTTTGTCCTTGCCTAGATACAATGAGACCTTTTAGAAGATGTATTTCGACATTACGATCTTGAGCTTCTATCTTAAACGTAGCCCTTCCCTGTAAAGCCGACAGCACAAGTTACAATTTGATTTTCCAGCCGTAGATTGTATGGTGATGGCCTGCGAATAGTGCCATCGCTGCAAACTGTAGGCATGGACAAATATTTGGGGGGGGGAGGGGCGTGGTTTGATAGTGAAAGGCCTGTTGGGGGTTGTACACTGTTTCCCCGAAAATAAGACACTGTCTTATATTTTTTTTTGCCTCAAAAAAAACACACTAGGTCTTATTTTCAGGGTAGGTCTTTTTTTTTAATGTACAACAGTCCACATCTATTCATGTACAAAGATATGGTGATCAGGGCAATCAGGAGTGCCGTACCTTTCCAAGAGCAATTTGCTAACCAATCACTGGCCAGAATGAGCGAAGCGCGCTTTCACTATCGACTCCTCACAGGCGGAGTGCATTTTGGTATCACTCCGCCTGTGACAGGAGTCGGCGCTATAGAGGAGACATCGGCTTATACTGCTCTGCTCCCTCCGCTGCCGCCCCGCTTCCTCAAGCGCTGGCTTCATTGGCACCGCTGATTCTCCCCCGCGGCTCTTCAAATTCCCCCTTATGCCACCACCGACCCTGGGAATGGTCGCAACTAGGTCTTATTTTCGGGGTAGATCTTATATTTTAGCAATTCCCAAAAACAGTACTAGGTCTTATTTTTGGGGAAACAGGGTATTATATAGTAAAGAACATAGTCCCAAGAAAAAGCAGTGCTGACTTGCTCACATGGATGGTACCATAGCACTAAATGATGGTGTTAGATGGGTGAATGTGGTCAATATACATGGGCAACATATAGACAACCACAGCAATACATAGATAACAAGTAGGCGATTGTCATGATTTGCAGGCAACAAGTGAGCAATGGTAATGATAGCAGCAAACTGACAAATGTAACACTATACAGTTAACAGACAATTGTGATAGTACATGGGCAACCAAAAGGCAACAGTGACAATACAGAGGCAACAAAAAGTCAACAGTGACAATACAGAGGCAACAAAAAGGCAACAGTGACAATACAGAAGCAACAAAAGGGCAATTGTGATGGTATGTGTGCAACAAAAACAGGCAATTGTGAAAATTCAGAGGCAACAAATAAGCAATTGGGATGATTTATGGGCAACAAACTGATGATCAGGACACTAAACAAGTGAAAAAACCTGACAATCGTGACAATTCGACATGTGCAATTGGTTTAGTTCTGAATCAAAATTCGTACAAATTTTTCGAACTTCGGACATTGGGACACATCTGAATTTCCGAATCCCAATGCATCTGAATGCGTCCAAATCCAAATTTCCATTTCCGAATTTCGGATCCCGTTCGAATTTCGTTTAAAAACGAAACTGAATCGGACATGTGACTTCTCAGATGTCTTTTTCCGTTGAATGCATCTGATTGGGTCTGAACAGGAATTTTCCTTACGGCAACATGGGAGCCATATACAGTATATACATATAATACTAAAGCGTTCGGGATCCAAATTTCCGCATTGTATTGGGGAGCTCCTGAATGCCATTCGGGTCTGGGAGCCATATACAGGTGAAACTCGAATAATTAGAATATCGTGCAAAGTTCATTTATTTCACTAATGCAACTTAAAAGGTGAAACTAATATATGAGATAGACTCATTACATGCAAAGCAAGATAATTCAAGCCGTGATTTGTCATAATTGTGATGATTATGGCTTACAGCTCATGAAAACCCCAAGAACCCCAAATCCACAACCTCAAAAAAGTAGATTATTACATGCAATCAATAAAACAAGGATTGTACATAGAACAATATCGGACCTCTGAAAAGTACAAGCATGCATATGTACTCAGTACTTGGTTTGGGCCCCTTTTGCAGCACTTACTGCAATTACTTTTGCACGATATTCTAATTATTCGAGTTTCACCTGTACATATATTACTAAAGCTGAGGCTCCCAGACCCGAATGGTTTTCAGGAGCTCCCCAATGCAATGCGGAAATTCGGATCCTGAATGCCATTCCGGTCTGGGAGATTCAGCTTTAGTATTAATATCTGTAGATGGTTTTCTGTGGAATTCGCAACGAATATTCGTAAACTCATTCGAAACTAATGACATTCGGATTTCGTCCGAATCCGAAACCCGAACCGAATTGGATTTCGGATCCGAATCACGAAATAACAAAATATCCGAATTGAAGCAAACCAAATTTTTTACCAGCTTACATGTCTAGTGACATTGCTTGGGCAATAAAAAGGCAACTGTGACAATACAGAGGGCAATCATGATGGTATGTGGGGCAAAAAAGAGGCAGTTGTAACCACACATGGACTAAATACACAGGCAGTCTTTCCAGTGGCGTCACAAGGGGGGTGCGGCCCGCACCCGGGTGACACCATTGGAGGGGTGACACCAAAATGACTGACAGTGATTTTGGTGTCACCCACCTCAGAAAATTAGTGCGCTCGGTCATGGACCGAATGCCCGACAGTATCAGGAGGGAGAGGAGGGGACCCGGCGGCATACCTTATCCCGCCGGGTGACTGTCCCCTCCTCTCTCTGCCACCCTCCATCACCAAGATGGCCGCCGGCAGGTTTTAGAAGAGTGACGCGCGTGCGCGATGATGTCATCGCGCACGCGCGTGGTGACATCATGCGCGGTGGCGAAGTGACACCCGGTAACCGCTCCGGGTGTCACCCAGCCTCGGGACTACCCTGAGTCTTTCCAATAAACAGGCAACGAGGAGGCAGTTTCTGTGCGCAGGCAGTTGTGGCAACACATGGGCAATGGCAGCAATGGGCAGGTCAAATTCAGAGACAACAACGAGTGCTCAGCCATCTAATTTAACAAGCAGTTCAAGGGTCTGACCTTTTTCTAACTCGGCTTGCTGCAAACTTGTTTTAGTTTGACCCGAAACATCCTATCGCTAGAAACAGCCAGGTGACAAGCATTTTCAGGAGGCCTGTAAAGACGGCCTACATACCCAATCAGTACATCAGGATCCCTTTAACTGAATGACATCACTGCCCTGAATCCAGGGGCTGACTGGCAACTTTTAGCCCAGGGGGCAAGTACAACTTGGAGGCCCATGGTGCAGCAACTTGGCCTCCCTCCCGCTCTGCCTCTTCCCCCCGCCTTCTCCTTGCCCGTCTGCCACTTTTGCCATCCATGTAACGATAGTGTGAATGGTCGGGTGATGTGAGGCAGGGAGGAGGTGCGGTGTGTGGAGCATGGATGCGGGCGGGCGGGTCTGGCAGCGGCAAGCGTGAGGCGGGGAGGAGGTGATGCATGTGGATGCGGGCGGGTCTGGCAGTGGCAAACGTGAGGCGGTGCGGCGTGTGGAG